TTCCGATCAAATACTATAGCTACTTTCAATTCTCCTATTGAACTATGTTTGATTTAATCCATATACTTGGGGTACATGGAAAACTGGAAGTAAGCTTTATGAATAATGAAAGTTTCAACCATTTCGAAAATATTCCTCACAAATTCTACCATGGATAGTAATTACAATATTTCCTAAATCTTCCTCATTTATTAAACCCAAGTCAGAAGCTGTTTTGAAAAAAAAAAACAATGAGCAGAAATATTGTTTAAGCTTTTTTAGATGGCTAAAATGAATAAGATAATGGTAGACATTGACAAAAAACAAAGAATGTTGAACTTGCATGATATAAAATGCTCAAGGGCCTAAAGTTATTCTATTCAAATAAAGCATTATTAAAATAAGTGAGATCTCAAACAAACTCAAGTCTATAAATAGAATTGCTAACAACACATAAAAAGTATTGTATTTAGTCTAGGATCAAATAGTTAAAAATGTATCTCAATGCAGAAATATCAAAAGGTAGGCGCTCACCCAAATGCTTGATTGAGTTATTCAACCAGCACTAGTGTATCTGGCCCAACTTTAAACCTCTTTAATTCACTCGCCTAAACAGCTAATATCGATGTTGATAGCCGGTATAAGATCTTCAATGTTCACATGCATGTAAACTCAACAACAAATGCGTTGCATTGACCGTACACTCTACTCCTCTAAGTTTTAATGCTAAAACATTCTGATTTCGCTTTTCTATGTGATATAACAGGTATAAATACCTTCTTGTATTAAAAGCAATTGTAAGGAAATTTATGATCCTGAGTCTGAGAACTTTATAATATTTCAATGTCATCATGCATATCCCTTATCAATATTCTAAAATGATTCCAAAAGAAAAAAAAAACTAATAAGCATCAAAATGGAATGTGAATAAAGTGCATTCTATATATGCCATGAAGACTAGTGAAATGATCTTAAAAAGTCCACTAGTCTCATATTCCAAAAGCATGTATAGCCGTAATAGTTTAAAGCTCTAACTTTTCTTAAGGAATTGTCTAGAATGTTCCTTGGAAGGGATTCATCGGCCTTACGAGCATTATTCATATGTTCCTATATGAAAAGTAAGAAGCTTTTCAATTTCTCCTAAAGGTAAAATGATCTTTTGGTTCTGGAAATATTCTCAATTTTCAATTGCTTTTAATAAATATCCCCATGAATGAAATAGATATATCTAATTCTTCAACGTTCCTCAAAGCTCAAATTCAAACAGGGGCATTTACATACATACCAACTCATTCCTATGTATTTTTACATACCTAACACCAAAACGTTATTTTTTACCTTTAAACAACCCAAATCGTTCATATCACATAAAAATACCCATTATTTTGACTTTTAAAAAGTAAAATACACCTTTTCATGCATAGACAAAATGGCATATATGTAAAGATTGAAGTTTAAGCTGTTTAGACATGTAAATACATTTGAATCGAGTGGTATGTATGTAAACGTATCATTCAAACATATTTATGTCGTTCCAGCCAAGTTAAATGTAAAAACACTTCACTACTTCCTCTTCCATAGTTCTCAGACATGGAGAGCAAAAATGATGAATGTACAACAACTGCCAGCATCGCAATTCCTAAAGCTTACCAGTACTCACTGAGGGGCCTTCCTTTTAGACTTGAATGAAAACCCACCAGGCGGCGAAGGAGAAAACTCTAGAGGAAGATGTGGGAGCTCTGACTGCCCTGTGAGCATCTCTACAATCTCCTTAATGGATGGACGGCAAGAAGGTGACCTCTGGATGCAAAGTAGAGCGACAGTGATACATAGAAGGGCTTGCTCCCTGTCACCCGCTCTTAGAGAGGGATCAATGATATCAAGCAGCCTCCCAACATGCGCAAGCTGCCTCGCCCAAGAGATGAGATTTGCTCGCTCAAACTCCGACATAGGAGATGCGGTAACCTGCAGCGGCCGCCGGCCGGAGACAATCACTAACAACAGTACACCAAAGCTATAAATGTCACACTTTTCAGACAGAGGTCCTCCGCCGCCGTACTCAGGGGCAACATAGCAGATAGTGCCTCTCATGCTCGGCGTGCTGCTCACGGTGCAGCTTTTGGGAATGTCCCCCACACCACATTCTCGGCTGCTCCTCTTACCAATACGATCAAACCATTGATCGTTGCTTGTATGGCTGCCACGACTGAAGCTTTTCTTCCTCGTTCTCTTTCGCCTCCAATGCCGAGAGCGATGCTGCTCTGCATCACTCTGCCACCATTGATGCTCGACTGTTTCTATGTTGCTTTTGGATTTGCTGATGGTTTTCCGCTTGCTTTTGTTGGTGAGCTCCTCACAAAACTCCTCTCGCCACCACTCCCTTGCCGGCCGGCTTTTCTTCCTTGTCCTCTCCTCGTCTAATGAAGCCCACCATTCTAGCTTCCTTTGCTGCTTCTTCCTCTCTGTTCTTCCATTTAGGCGAGGTAAGCAATCCTCAGCCGATACCGCAGATGTGGATGCAGTAATCCATTCGCTTTTTGGTCGTTCCTTTTTAATTTCGGAGCGGATCCACTCCATCACGTAATCCTTAACGCTGCTCCCAGGTTCGGAATTCCCTCCGCCGCCGGCGCCGCCGCCTCCCCCGTCCTGTCGCCCCCACCCCCATCCCTACGCCCACGCTGCCACCCGCGGCGGAGGCAGCTTTCCGGCGAGCGCTCCTTTTGCTGGTGGAGGCAAATGTATCCATCCCGCTGTCAACGCTCGCCCTGTCAAATCCCCCCGCTTCCGAGGTGGAGGCCACCTCGAGGGCTGTCAAAGTCTCCGTCGGCGAAGCTACGAGCTCTGCCTCCGAAACCCTTGGAACAAAAGCATCGATTTCCTCCTGAAATCGCTCCTCTAATCCTAAGGTCGTCGTGCTTTCGACGGTTTCCCCCATCGCTGACGCATCATCCTCCCCTCCACCGACATTAATCTCCGACTGCAAGTTCGCATCTTTCCCCAAATTTTTTTGCGAAGATTTATGTTCGATCTCCCCTCCTTGTGCTTCCCCCTCGCTCAGATTTTGATTGCCGTCAAACGCAGGCGAATTGAGGCGAGCGAGACCGAAATCGGCAATTTTGGCCGAGAGCCGCGAATCGAGAAGGATGTTGCTCGGCTTGATATCTCCATGAATCACCGGTGGATCGCAGATCACGTGTAGGAAATGAAGCCCGCGGGCGATGTCGACTACAACGGAGAATCTCCTCCGCCAGTCCATGAGTTCCGGACATCGCCGGTCAAGTAACGCATCTTGCAAACTTCCGTTGTGCATAAGTTCGTAAACCAGTAATAACCTCCGCAACGGCAATGACTCTCCGCCTTCATCCATCGCCTCCAAGTCCGCTGCTTTCCGCCGTCTAAACCACCAACAGCATCTTTTCTCATAGTTACAGAATCCGAAGGGAACGACGACCCAGCCGCGATCTGGTGAGGAGCCCATGGTGAGGATCTTGGAAGCGAGAGCGAGCTCGTTCTGAAACTCACGCTCCCCTTGGAGGAATTCGGAATCCAAGAGCTTAACGGCGACGTGTTCTCCGGAGGGAAGTGTGCCGCGGTAAACAGGGCCGAAGCCTCCTTGACCAAGCTTGTGAGAAGGGGAGAAGGACGCGGTGGCCCGGCGAAGCAGAGAGAAGGAGAAACGACGGAGAGGAGTGGGAGGTGGCCTCAGATCGGAGGGCACGGTTGCTGCGGCTCGACTGCGGGAAGGCGGAGTGTAGCCGCAGCGGCGGCGGCGACAGTTGCAGCAAGCGCGGTTGCAATCAACACCGGCGTGGAGAACTGGTGCGTGGGGTTGTGCCTACTATGAGAGGTCGCGATGAGTATCGCCGCCGTGCCCGGAAAAGGCGGCGGAGAGAGCATTGAGCCGTCCGTTGGACCGTTGCGAAGAAAAGGGGTGATAATGAGAAAAAGCGATTAGCTTCTGCGTTTTTTTTCCTTCTTGCTCCTTCCTTGGATCTTCGAAAGGAAAGGCGAGAGCTCAGATCAGAGAGTATCGACGGGGAAAGTAGAACCTCCTCACAGAGCATCGGTAACAAGACAAAAAGGTTTTTATTGTAATAAATGCAATAGTTAATAAGAAGGCTCTGGTTTGTTGAGAGAGGCACATGTCCCGTTCGCTCTGCGCTGAATTCCTGCCTCAGAGAAGAAGATAGTCAAACAAAACCCAGCCGCTGTGTTCACATTTTTTTCTGTTTTTGAACAATGCTGTGAGTTTTATACATGGATTTATGGCTTTTTGCTGATTACGAAGATTTCAATTTTGTGTGCAGGTTTTGCAATGGAGTAAGTAATGCTGAGTGAAAACTCAATTATTTTAATTCAGTAGGTATATATAAAAGAAGAATAGTTAACTTGCAGCATCAATATGGCTCTTGAGAGAGGGCTACAATTGATAGGTCATCAAGTAACTCTCATGATGAAACACTTATCTAATGAAGAATTATTTATGCTCAAATTTCATAAAGCTTACTGTCAAATTGAGTGTCTAGAATGTGTACATCCAACTAGACAAATATCACTTAATTTTGACATTATTAATGACTCGAATGCTCAAAAAATATCTTGAGAGTAAAAGGATCGTTCTAAACTGTTAAATGGAATGATCGAGATTCAAGCAATATTTACGAAGAATGTCGCTCACAACATTTATAAATAGATTCTTGCTCTTTTCATGAGAGTGAAGAATATAGAGTTTGAGGAAAAACTTAAGGGGGCTTCAAGCTTTTGAAAAATTTTGAGCTTCACTTGTCCAACACCGTCATTGCCCAATTGTTGCCGCTAACGTCGAACTGTCATCACTTGGTTAAACCATCGGTACTCGAGTAATGACTTTATTGGACTTTTGTTACCCCATCGCTGCTAATATTATCGAACTGTAGTAGCCTGACTGCCTCTGTTGCAGCTGGATTTCCTCACTCTGACATCCTTGACATGAGTTGTTGTTTAGGGTATTATTTTATTTTATTTTACTTTGTATAGAGAAACGAACATGAAAAAATAACTAAAGGTAGGGTGTAATTGGGTCTAGAAAAACAATTTTCACCATAAAATAAAATAAAAATACATTAAATAAATCTAACATGTATACAAAATTCTTAAAATAGTGCAATCACCTTAGTTATATTTTGAATGAAGATTGCATGGAATGTGCATTGGTGGACATATGATTGATATGATATATTGTACAAAGAATGCATGTAGCTACAAGTTAGAGGAAAATGGACATGTAATATGAGGTTCATCTTGTGATATTGATGATGTTTAGTTGCTTCATTTTGTTATCGTTTGTGGGTTGCAGTAGTTATATGGGAGTTGCTATTAGAGGGAAGTAAGGATTTTAAGGAGATAAACTCATCACTACTATCAGTATATAGAGAAGATTTGACATGGAAAATATTTTGCATAGAATTTTAAAATGAGAAAAACATCTACTACAACCTCAAACTTTTGCTTGAGAGGATAAAGGCAAATGTGATGGATAAATTCATAAACCAAAAAGACAAAATTTATAACCACCATATGAGATAATGGGAGAGATTCAAACAATAGAATGTAGTTCATGTGGATGTGAACTAATAAAAAAAAAATTGTATAGAAACAACATTAATTGCACGCAATCGTTGACACATTTGAGTTATATAACCATATATCATAATTAAAGGCTAAGTGGCATGATACTTTTACAGACATATAACCAAGGTGATGATTCCACAGATCAATAGAGGAGTTTATGATGGAGAAAATAATCACTGATTGTTTTTGGAGGATGGTCGAATAGTAAGGATTGGCGAGTTCCCTAGCGGGGGTCTTTAGGGATGAACCCCCTAGGGTCCAAGTGAGTTGCCTGATTGTTCCTTAGGGTGATTGTTGCTTGGAAGTCCTCGAATTGTTCTATCATGAGAGTCACCTTGGTTTGCAACCCCTGGACTTGTGCCTGGATGTCTGGTTGTGTATCCTCCCTATTGAGTTCCATGCGCACTATCTCTCTTTGGGAAGTTTCTCCTTTGTATTCTCTCTCACTTCTCCTTTGTGGTATATCTACGCTCACCACACCACCTTTTAGGATGTTGGATTCTAATTTGTCTTTTGTGAATCACGCCCTGAGAGTTAGAGCCGAGTGAAGGAGAGAAGAAAGAGATAGTATAATAAATCTGGAAATTCTGTAAGGAGAATTCAGGGAGAGGTTACTTTATTTATATTTTTGTCTCATACTTATAGAGACGTGTTTTGTATGATTACAGAAAGAAAAGAATGATTATGAAAACCGTTTTTAATGTCATTAAGACTGTCCAATTGATTGTATAGATTTTATGTCATATTTGTATTACAATTTGAATTTTAACATTGGCAGTAATTGGCTGGTCAGCTAGCTTAAAGCCAGCCAACTAAGGCGACCGATTGAGTGACATCTATGCCCTCTGAAGTAAGCGATGGTCGGTCGAGATGTTCGACCGATGGCGATCTTACATGCAGTCTTTTGGCATGGTCAATCAAAGCGACCGGTTGTGAGGTGATTGTTTGGTCCAAACGCGTGGTTGGTCGGTCAAACGTGATCAGTTGATTTTTTCGTGGAGTCTGTCTCATTTTCCATTTGGTTGGAGTCTTACAAGACTCGTTTCTCCCCTTCCTCGTTGGTTTGCTGCCTCTGTCGGATCTCTCAATCTTGTAAGATCTTAGGCGGATCTTATCGCAGCCTGTGCGGGGTATCCAACGAGACTCACTGTTGGAATGATTTACGCCTCACTTTCGGCAGGTCTTGCCTCTACCAAGCTGGGAACTATCTCCAAAGCTTAAACCTATCTAGGGTTTGGAGACGTGGCTTCATGCTCGACATTGAATAGTCGGTTGCTTGCTTACCTCGAGAAAATGCTCTTTCATCTTGGTCATTTGTTTTTTTTTGAGATTTGTGCTGGTATTTTTGGTATATACGTTAATATAAATCAAAAGTGTCAGAACTTTATATTAAAAAAAAAAAAAGAAAAGGGAGCCAAAATTCAGTGTATGTTAATCTCACATTACGCGTTAATATATGTATGGTTAAGTGAAATGTGTCTATAAAAATATGAAAGTAATTAAAAAAAAAAAAAGAAAAGGGAGCCAAAATTCAATGTATGTTAATCTCACACTACGCGTTAATATATGTATCGTTAAGTGAAATGTGTCTATAAAAATATGAAAGTAGCTATGGATTTTCATATTTTTCAAATAGTGAAATTGATTTCGCCTAAAAATAATGGGGTAATTAATACGTCACAAATAAATTTTCACAATCCGACATAAATCTTGAGGCGTGGAACAAATCTCGAGGCAATTCTTTTGAGCAAGAAATGTTCAAACTTTAATTAAAATTTATTTAGAGCTCTGATTTTTAACAAACTTATAGTCAATTTGACCAACTCGATGATACAGACCCAATAATATCAAAATTGGTCTAATCCAAGTCAAATCAAGCTCATATCAAGCCATTAAATCACATTTGAAAGCTTTGTAGGTATACTTGAAAGGTCAAACAAATGTCGAATCTGACGAGCTTATAGTTGAATCAAGGTAAAACAAATCCAACGAGACCAAATCACTCAAATTTTGACATTATTAATACATTTAAATGTCCATCAAATGCTGTCAGAGCAAGAAAATATCTCTGGACCGTCTGATCAAATTGGTTCATAGTTTTTCATTAATTGAAACCAAGACTCTATAAATATAGTCTCACGCCCCTTCATGAGAGGGGGAGGAGAGTTTGAAGCTTGAGAAAGAGATTGAAGCTTTGAGGAGCTGGAGTTGAACACCACTTCTGTCGTCGTCAATCACCACCTATCGGTCGCCAACAATCGCTATCAGTTGTCTCCCGTTCTTTGCAACAAGTTTATCTGTACGTCGACTTTGTAACTTGGAAAATCTTGTAACTCTTTCCACATGTCAGTTAAGTGATTACAATTGTAATCAATGTTTTATAGTTGAACGCTTCAACTGAGACAGAACCCGTAGTTTTTTTCTTCACGGGTTTTCCACGTACGAACTTCTAGTGTCACTACTAGTTATTTTCTCAATTTTGAATGTGTTGAATTCTCGTGCAACGCTAAAACAATAATTCATTACTCTACCGCTGTTAATCTTCTAGCACTTATCAAAACTATAAAACTTTATTTTATTTTTTTTATCATTCAAAATATTAAAAATTTTGTTTCCATTAATTAAAATCCTATATCTATCGTTACTTTAAGATCAACAAGAAAAGTTTTTTTTGTCTGCTCAAATCATAAATAATGTTATGAAATACGACGACCGTTTTTATTTCCCATAATTACAAGTAATTGTCTTTATTTGTTTGCCTCATAACTGACAGATATGATAAATAAATGAGTGAAGTGTCAAAATAGTCCCTCACCGTGGATATGCCATCATTGTAGCCTTTGTCCCTCGCTCTTTAAAAATGAGCAGAAATAGTTTTCAATGGGTAGAGGTGTGAAGGAGCCGAGCTTGAGCAAGTTGAGCTCTTATTTGGCTCGTTTAAAAAAATATTATTATTTTTGTTTGGCTCATTTATATATCAGGCTCAAAAAATTTATTTGTAATTGACTCATTTGCTTATCGAACAGAATACGAGCTGTTTACGAACAATAAGTCATTTTGACGATCATAGTCATACAGCCGTAGAAAGTTAAGAGTAGAGTGAGATTTTAATTTTATTATATATATATATATTAAAATATTCATTTAAATAGAATTTAATGTATTTCTATTCTATTTTTAATTAGTAATTTTAATTAATTATAAATATTTATAGTCTTGCAATCA